CCGAGTACAGGTGGAATGATATCGTCTCTTTGTAAAGCACCCGCGGCGGTCATGAAGAACACAGGCATCCAGCTTATAACGAAGATACCTGCTATCATAGCGAAAACTCTAGCGACGCGCCCCTCGCCAGTGACTCGTTTACCTTCGCGAGCAGTCTGTTGTTGATTATCGTAAGTTGCAAGTTTTGCAAGGTTCTTTATCTGTCGCGCGACTTCACGGAAGATTTTGATGTAGGCGAACAGGATGAAAATGTAAGGAACTACAACACCGCCTACAATGAAGAACAGATAGACTTTTTCTGCAGTTGTACCTTTCTCGTTGCCCCAGATCAACGGTAGAAGGCTCAGTGGAATGGGTAAAATCCAGGCCGTGAGCAAGATTTTGACAAAATGTCTAGTCATCGTGTAAGAATATCGCAGCGAGTTCATAACGGCCAAATAGCGGTCCAGCGTTACCGCAAACAAATTGGTAACGTTCGCAAAAAGAATAAGCGACACCAGATATCCATTGGCAGGGTTGGATTGGTCCGCTATGTCCACTGGAATTAACACAGCACCAAAGAGGATATCTGAAAGGGCCAAAGACACTATAAAACCGTTTGTGAAAGTTCGCAATTTGCGGAAGCGATACACCAGAAAGCAGACCAGGAGATTTTCCAACGTAATTAAAACGCCAAGGATAACCAAAGGTATTGCTTCGCTGAGCGGTTTTGTCGTCGATTCTGTTTGATTAGCCATTTTTTACACGGATAATCGATTCAAAGGTCCGCGTTGGCCACAGTACGTCCCGATGTGATCGCAAATTTCAATTAGCTTGTGAAAGCCGAGTCGCGGTGGGGTTCCCCCTAAAGCAATTCAATAACTTGTTTCTTCGTTCAAATTCAGAATTTCACGATGTCCTGCGCGCCTTGTATTGTCTCGTTTTTCTTTGTACTCTCACTTTTAAACACACAATTCCAACCAGATGTTTTTCGTCCACTAATCGACAAGCATCCGTGGTGAGTCTGTTGAACGGCCGTGAAGAGCTCTATCGATGACTCAGCTCTGCACGGTTCTAATTCTGCCAATCGGAATTCTTATATGTGAAAACAAAGGCTTGCATGAGTGGAGTCACACTAAAGTGTCTTTGTCCTTGAATTAGCAACTCAGTTGGGCTGGCTTGCTTTATCTACAATTAGTGACCGACAACCTCTCTACCAAAATGCGAGTTATGTCCAACCAACACAAGGGGATAAATATGAATAGCTTAATTTCCTTTTTCGCGATAATTGAAAAACCACTTTACTGGTTCAATTGACAGGTAAACAAAACATAATGATCCATCAAAACTTTTTGCGAACCACAACATAGTTTGAAGCTTGCGTATTACTCAGAAAAAGCAACATGCACGCAAGACTTGTCGAGCAAAATAAAAATCTGACTGAAATTATGTAATTTTTCACCTGGACTAAAAGACTATTGTGCTCGCTTTTTTCACAGGGAATTTTCTGAAACGTTATTTTTGGCTATTTTTATTGTCAAGGTGCATAGCATGCTTTTCTGAAATATGACTGAAATTATGTAATTTTTCACCTGGACTAAAAGACTATTGTGCTTGCTTTTTTCACAGGGAATTTTCTGAAACGTTATTTTTGGCTATTTTTATTGTCAAGGTGCATAGCATGCTTTTCTCGTTCCAGGAATTCGGCAAATAACATGTTCGTTCACAGCTATATTTTATAACTATAAAGATATGAAATAAACTCCGTCGTAGCGTGCTAAGTGGCGTCTACTCGGTCGAATCGTGTCCAAAAGCATTGCGAGAAGATATTCCGCTCTCGCGGTGTAATTTATCTTCTGCTCAACAAACTCTTCATTATTCAGCTGTTCCCGCATGTCGCGAACTTTTTAATTCAAATAGCGCTGAAGTTGGGGTAGACTCGTTGTCTACGGAATCTTTGAATGAGTCGTTTATTGCATTAACTGTAGCTCAAGCCTCTAGAACAGGTGTTTCAATAACCCGCAAAATTTGTTTGTATTCGAAGTGATGTTTGTTTCGTCGAATAGTACTTGTCAATTCAATTTATAACATAGCTAGAAAATTTGTCTAATCAAATTCAATTGCGCGAGCGTGCTTCATATTCCTATTGTGCACGCTCATGACGTCAGCAAACAAATCCCTTGAGAAAAAATTTTCTTATAAAACAATTGGTTCATGCGTCAGCTGTGCGTTCATCGAGATATGAAGCACTTGGGAAGTTTTTGTAGCACTCAAGAAGCTAGAGTTGCTCGAGGCGTAGCCTCGAGCAACTCTTACGCATCTTTCTTCTTCTCCAAACTTCCCGCGTGCTTCATATCTCGATGAACGCACGCTGACGTATGAACCAATTGTTAATTATAACCCTAACCTCCACTGGACACCTCGCTTTGCTCGTGCATCATGAGGCACATCCCGGATGTTTCCACGTTCGAGATAATTTGTTTTGGATCACGTTAAGTTTTCTTTACACTTTTTGCTGCAATGAATTTTCTTGAAACTTTTCCCGTGAACCAGGCTTTCGGATATTTTTTTCTTCATTAGGAAATGCCAACCTCCTGTCCACAATTATGTTTGCCCAAAATAGCACAAAACACCAGAGGCAATGTACACTGAGACATCAATACCGCCATTGGGAATGATAGAATACAATTGTATCGCAAATAAGCGACAGAAAATAGGATAAACTCGGAGAGATTCAAATTTAACTGTATTTTCATGAACATGGCATTTTTGTGCTTGTCCATCTATTTGCACTAAAGACATTTAGTAAAACAAATCGAGCTCAATGCTTATCAATAGAGATGCAAATTAAACCTACGCTGGCTTTGAGCATCTTTTTTGAACACTAAATTGACCTCGCGTGTAGAGTGAAATTTGACTCCCTGTCTCTAAGCACGAGAAAACGAAAATTAGAAAGCGTTTGTTGCTTTGTTGGTTACCTTTTCCTGCGATACATTTCAAGGCACATTCTTTATATTGAACTGAGCCATCTGTAGTCTTAAATGAGAAGGGTTTATCCGGTCATAAAACTTAAAAGCAAATTAAATGACACATTTTAGGCACTTCCTTTCCTCCTAAGACTTGAATGAGAATCTTAAAAAAGCTCTGAATTGACACTGAATTGATACCTTTATACATAAGGAGTCCTCGGTAGATCTTAATGAAGAAGCACCAAACGTGCAAGCTCTGAACTAAACCTTATATAAGCTTTACATTTCGTAATAAACAGCTGAAAGGCTCTTTGGCCTCCTAGTTTATCGTGATGTAAATTGTTTTAATTGAAATTTAAATCCTTCTCGAATGAGAGCTCGAATGAAGAACACTGAAGCTCCATGAAACGAAAGAAAAATACTCAATACTGAGACTTGATTCATTTTTCGACAACATACGAGAGAAAAAACACTATATTGCTAAACAGTGTTACCGAGACTTAAATTCAGTTCAGAAAAAACGTTTTTCTTTAAACGAAATTTCCATTTTGTGATTAGTCTCACCTTCATATGCAACATATATTTAATTGTTGCATGGAATCGAGTAGTTTACTCACGATATATACTCTCTTTACGTGATGCATGGAAATGCTTCAATTTTACATTTGTAAAGAATATATATCATTCTCAAAGAATATTAAGATAAATGCGCTGCGTATTTTGTAGGATTGCGATTATCACGGTAAATATAATTTTTTTGCTGAGGTCATCATGACACGAAATAGAAAAGAAATACATATTTTTCTTGTGTGAAATCGCTAATATAATTCATTTCTAGAAGTGAACAAAAGCGGTTAATCCGTTTGTAAAACGTAAAAGCAAAAATAAGCTCCATCCTTTCAAAATTTTTTTCCATCCTGAGACTCATTCAAATAGATGTCTGCAGGACTTGCCGCTGAATTGACAACTTTTCACAACAAGAGTCACACGTCTTTGAGAAGGAAGAGTCCCCGTATAGCCTCCCGACAATAAGCTTTATATTTCACGATAAAGAGCTAGGAGAATCTCTTTATATTCAGCAACTACGTTTGTATTGATGTGAATCATTTTAATTAAGATTGAAATTAAGCTGATAAAAACATTTATCTTCAAAGATATCAAATAGATTTACAACATTCTTACAGTTGAGAACTACCTTCTATTGATGTCTCCTCTTCGTAAACAAGATCCCTATCACCATTTATTCATTCATTCACGTGAAAAGTGTTTTCTTATTAGCAGCACTAAGATGACAACCTATTTCGAAGTAGATAAAAGTACCAACGCAGATTTCTTCTGAGCTTGCGCTGTTGTTTCTTGTAGACTTGGCACAAATGCCCATCAGGCAATCGAGGTAGACAGTTACATGCACAACCTCGATGACCCTCTCAATGTATCTTGTATCGTATAATGACGAGTTTTACCATGGCACGTGTCACTGCACCGTAAATGAAAGAATCTTTGTGGCGTCTATACGGAGGCTTGTATACATTCGTGATGACAATATTTTCAGAATCATAGTCTATTGCAGACCTAAAAGACACCATTCAACTTAGCAGAAAGCCTTTTTTCGGAAGGAATGTTGTCACTCTTCGAAAACAATTCAGCGATGTCTCTCTTACTGTACCCCTCTTTCAAAAGCTGGTACAACGTGGTATGGAGAACATCCAGTTGGGTTGTTTCGCTCTCTGAATAAGATATTTTCCGTACATCGTCTCCATCAAAGTCATGCCCTATCTCAACCCCGTCTTTCGAATCATCAGCGACAAAATATTTTTTGGCACCTTTGAATATCTTCGTTGAGTTCCGAAAGACTTTCGTAACCTAAATTGCGGCCGTTGTTTTCTTTCATCAGGAGTACCGGAGGGAAAATCGTGTCTTTTTCGGAAGATGTCAATAAAACGCCAAAAGTGACCGGGTCTGCCAGGATCATGCTGTCGCCTTCTCATACCAGGAAATTGTGCCAGAGCGCTGCTCGAAGTTGTGAACTTCATCAAGTATGACATGCTTGGTTTACGGAAACTCATACCTGATGAAGGTTTCACGGCAAATGGCATTGCACAGTCCCTCCATTTTCCTAGCGAGTTAACCAAGGTTGAATTACATTACGTTGCAAACTGAAATTTCATATAAGTAGTTAAATGATACCGATTCAGCTTTTTCCAGACTTTTCCATTTCGATTCTTAGTCGGATAACTATAGAAAAGGGCCACTTTAAAATAAGTGCATACACCGACACCGCTTGCGGCTGGTAAATGTACTTTAAATTTCCTGCTAAATTGGATTTGGTCATTGATACATAGGAGTTTAAACAATTTTTAACTCTCATCACTTTTAAAGCAGGCTAGTCCTGAAGTTTAGGTGTTGTCATGGGCAATTCTTACCGTACTTGGTTTGCTATGCCCTCATTTTCACAAACATAAAGGATTTCATCCTTTTGTAGTTTATCACGGCGTTTGAGCTTTCTCATGAATTCCACTGCCACAAGGGTCTTTCCCGTCCCAGCGACTCCCTTTCTCCATAACTCTTCGTTTGTCTTAGTCAGCTAATGCACCAACTGGAACTGTTCCTTAGTAAGGAGATTGAAAATGATTACTCCTAACTTACTGGACAAAGTAGAGGGCACAGCAGCAACAGTTTTCACCATAGCTTTGAGTATTTCATTAAGTTTCGCTCGGGGAGTATGGAAGTCATAAGACTTCGGGTAGCGATCGTCGGGTAATGGGCGTATCACTTCTCCACCTGCGCGACATGGTAGCACATGGTATGACAGATAAAACCTTTGGCCCCTTGCGCAATTTTCGGAAAGATGTTTCTTTATGGACTGAGATAAGAGACCTTTGGACAAAGAGAACATATCAGAAAAATGCTCGTGATGAGAATATTCCCTAGTTGATAAGAGTCCACGTATTGCAATTCTTCTTGCCTGTGGCCAATTGCACACAGGACTATGTCAACCGAGAGATGTGGAAGCAACAAATATTGTACATATCTCTTAAGTACATGCACATAGAGTACCTCACAGTGGGTTCCATGGATCGCAGGAAGGGGTTGTCAGTTCGGTTCAAACACTATCTTTCATATCAAGGTAAGAAAACAAAATATTACGGATGGAATACTTTTCCTGTGTCCTATGGAACAGCTCGCTCAACCACGCCTGTTCTTTTCCTTTTTTTTATCAGGTATTCAGACGCCAGCAAGTTGCTGAGAAAATGTTTATTTGCCTCAAATAATCTTGCTTTCCTTAAGATAGGACAGAGATCTTTGTTGTGTACATGTATGGACGAAAGTTTATTTCGACCTATTATCGTTCTTCTTACCATACCCCAACCTTGAACAGTCAACTGATAACATGTTAGGATTAATGTTGAGTTAGGGGAGGGGTAGGTGCACAGTTGTTCAGATACTGACATTGATCAAATTCTTTCCATACATCTATGAGACGAGGTTGAATTGACAAATTTTCAAAGTAACTGTCACACACCTTTGATAAAGAAGAGCTCTCCATATGCAATAAGCTTTATAGTACGCGATAAAGAGCGGAGAGGATCTCTTTACATTCAGCTTCTCAGTTTTTCTTGATGTAAATCATTTTACATTAAGATTTAAATCCCTCTCCATATGATTTCGTCTGAGGATCACTGGAATCGTTTAAGCGGAGAGAAAAATCTTTACATGTGATATTTTGATTTAATATTTAAACCGAGTTGATGAGAAGACCAAAAATTATTTTCTGAAAAGTAACGAAGCAAACTATTTAGGAATTCTTTGAAACGCAAGGAAAACGGAAACTTTTTCCTGGTGTATCCATATACTTCCAGTCAGTACATCGGATGTTTTCAATCGAATATGGTAAAGGATTCTTGCTTGAAGAAATAGTAGTTTACCGTCTACGGATTTGCATATGCAAATCTTGATAACTCCAGATAGATTTATCTTTTGTCAATGTTATTTCCTGGGGCGGTGTTTCGACAAATGCCTAACTTATTTAAAACTATCAAAACATGATCTCCGATCTAGTATTTGGCTGACTTAATCTTAATTACGAGTCTTAAAAAGCCACACACAGAAAAATTCAATAACTTTTTCAACCATCTCCAGAAAGCTTAAATCCAGATGAACCAAATTAATCTATTTCATAGCTTTTACTGATAAAAATTTATTTCTTGAAATGGATATAGAAATTAGAGCTTCGTGAATGTGATATCGCTGACATATTCAATTAGTAATGGTAACAGGACCGAGTGAAGTTCAATTCGGTTTGTAATCATACGAGCTATGACAAAATCGGACGACTGCGAAGCAGAAGTCCGATTTGTTTATCACGAGTCTTATTTCTAATTAATTGTGAAAATTACGATTTTCAAGAAAAGAAGAATAGCCAAGTTAAGAAACCAAGGTCTGTACACTGTTTCAATGGTGATTGAAACCATGATTGTGATTGGTTGATTTAAACTACAACTTTGAATGTGATTGGCTAATTGAACTGCTCGATAACAACTTGGAGAGTGAATAAGTTGAAAACAGGAGTTTTTTTGAAGCAATGACAATCGAGAAAATTGTAATTTTGATATCAAGTGATGCAAATGTCTGAGCCGTAAGGAATAAATATCGTCAGTAGAGAGACAAGGAGAGAGATTTCCGAGAGAAAACATCGGTAGAAAAATGTTGCTAAGGTTGTAAAGTCTTTTGATACTAAACCCTTGGTTTCGCAATTTCGATTGGCTGATGCTGTGAACAGACAATGAATAATATTGCATACCGCACCCGTTGTAAGATGAAGGAAGTTGTAAAACAGGTCACATTCAGCATCAAGATTCCATGTAAATCTGTCCAATATTTGCAATTTTTTGTATCCAACCTACCGGTAAAAGGTTTATGTTTTAAATGAGTAATCCTAAAATGCTAAAATGAGTAATGCTATGAATGAAAAAATAATGCGGAACCAACTGACCTATGTTCCTATGTTCTAAGAAAACCCTTACAAACCCGAGTAGCTCATATAACTTGCTGTTGTTGAGCTAGTCCTGATTCATGCTTCATTAAGTGTAGAAGTATACATAGTTACTCATCCTGAATAGAATGTTAGTCAATGGCTGGTTGCACACAACAATTTGTCAAGTTTTGCCGGCTTCATAGTTTTTAATACCCATTTACACTCCTGGGTGGAGAAAGAAAAGTAAAATGAGTTTCTTGAAGAAGGAGAAGAAAAGGAAAATAAACTCAGTGGCCTATAGCTAAGGATCGAACCTTGGCATTTAGCCGGCGTGACTATTGACATTTTAGGTGACAGACTTACAAAACGTGAGGCAGAACTGTAAAAGTAAATAAGCGAAGGAAAATGTTTGTTTTCTTGACCCCGTCGTGTTAGCGTCAGGGAGCTGACGCAGCCAAGAAGACAAAGCCGAGGAAAATGACGATTAAAAAAGGAATTTTTATTGTTAGGTAAAATTTCGCAAATGGCCGGATCTGTTCACCGTCTCTAACAGTGCCACATCTTAACTTCAACATAACGGATGTGAGTTGAGCGTTGAATTCCAAACAGAAACTTAACTAATTTTTCTGTCGGATTTTCCGTTCTAAGACGACTTGTGACCAACGCACCAGCAATTTAAGAGAAGTTAATTCTTGATGACACGATCGAACTCTTCTATTTGCACACCATTGCCAGTGGTTTCTAAGTAAAGTATTACGAACATAATACATCAAGAACGGAACGACTACTTACAAGATTGGAAATAACAAGAAATACGTATAACATAGGCAATACTAATAACATAAGGAAAACGGGACATTCGACGAAAGAGCAATTAACCTGACGATTCTGGAACACGGCTGCATAAGAACGTACTTGCAATTACCTTCTACTCGAGCTAACACCGTTATATTTGCATGATCCGCGCAAAAAGTCAAACTTATATGAATAGCCGCGCGAACTGGGGCTAGGAGGGGGATTGGTTTCTACGCCGGCCCCGAATTAGCTATTAGTAATAACTAATTCCAACAACAAGTAACCAATTCCAAGACTACAAAGCTCCTATAGTAATGTAACGAAAATGAACTTATTTTAGATAACGCAGTTTGTAATTATAGTGTAATATTGTCTTGGCCATAGAGCTGATAACAGTTTATAAAGTTCACGAGTTCTGATCTCCTTCAAGGAGGCACAGCTTTCTAACGATCACGTTTATAGACAGTTGTGGCCGTTTTCACCTTAACGTTGCGTACATAACCATAACTGTCTGGGAACACCTCCTCAATCAAGCCCATTGACCAGTGAGCTCTCAGCGTCTTCTCGTCGACAACGAGAACCAACTCACCGACGGCGAAGTTTCGACGAGGGACGCTCCATTTCTGCCTCGTTTGAAGTGCAGGTAAATAACCCTTCATCCATCTTTTCCAAAATGAATCTGCTAGGCATTGAGCTTGGCGCCAACGCTTGCTATACTTGTCGTGACCTTTGAAGACATCCGGCGGAAAGCAGGAATTGGATCTCAGAGGCAGGAGTTTGTTCGTTAAGAATCCTTTCTGCTTCACACAGCAGGGTTGACAATGTTTCGTCGCCAACCAGCTGTTCCTTTAACAGGGCACCCAAAATCCTCCTTACGGAGCCGATCATACCTCCCATATTCCACCCTGATGGCTGGCCTCAGGAGGGTTGAATGACCATTGAACGTCGTTTGATCTCAAACGATTATAAATTTTGGTTTGGTCCAGTCGCTTCAGTGCTTCTCTCAACTCTCGCCATGCACCCTTGAAGTGCCATTGTCACTGTATATCTCTATGGGCTTCCCTCTGAGGCTGACAAAACGCTGATACGCACAAATAAACGAGTCTGCTTCCAAAATGTGTGCGACTTCCATGTCCACTGTCCTCATGGTTCGGCATGTGAACAAACATCCGTAACGTTTTACCTGAAGGCGTCCTTGCCTCAAAAAGAGGGGAGCTAAAGTGGTCCACACCCACATGGGTAAATGGTGGATCTGTTGGAGCGACCCTTGCTGACGGTAATGGGTCCATAATCTGTTTACCAGGACGAGCATTCTGCTTGCTACAATTCATGCAATTCGACAAAACCTTGCGCACTGCAGAGAGACCTCGCACAATCCAGAATCTCCGTCTGAAGAAGGTCAGAACTTGAGAAGGACAACATTGTCCGTGTTGGCGATGACAATTCTGGATGACCAAATTTGTCACGTGATGTTTACTGGGAAGAATAATGGGGTGCTTCCTTTCGAACGAAACAGAAGCATTCTCCAAGCGACCTCCTGTCCTCAATACTCTTCAGAGATGAAAGGGTTTAAGCTGCGTATTGGACTAGACCGTGGGACGCACTTCCTCTGGTTCCCTGACGCTCTTTAGCCTTCCATAGCTAACTCCATTGGAAGTACGTCATGCTGGACAGCTTTGATAATGACACTCTCTGCAGCAATAACTTCGTTGACAATCAAGGGCCCCAAGCTATGGCCTTTCGAAGACTATCCAAGAGGAATAGCGGGACAACAGTGGGTCCAACATTTTACCACAGACGATCACGTTCGCACGACCAGGGCACCTTCTACATTCACTGTCGTCTTGAGGTAATTCCGGCCGCTTCAACGGTTGCTTGGGCCAATTCTCTTATTCCTTCCGCAGAAACTTTGGACCGTGAAGCCAAAGCTCCAACTTGCATAAGTCAGAACCTTTCGCCCCTCTGGACGCGAAGTCGGCAGGGTTCGCACAGGTGTCAACATGTCGCCATTGACGTGGTGTGGAATCTTCTTGATTCGTTACGAATGTACTGCAAGACTACGGTAGAATCTGTCCAGTAGATTGTGTCGTGCATTGACACTCTAGCTCGTTCCGAATCAGACAATACAATTTCACGGCGACAACTACAGCTGCTAATTCTAGACGCAGTATGGACACCTCTTTAAAAGGAGTCACGCAAGATTTGCCTAGAACAAATGAACAATGCTGGACACCTTTGTCGTAGGTAATCTGGAGGTACGATACTGTTCCGTAACCATTTTCGGATGCATCTGAGAGATGGTGTCACTAGACGTTGACGACTACACTGAATCCTGGTGGTTTGAAACATCTAGGAACAGATATTGTTCTCAAACATGCAAGTACTTTCAGCCATCCTTGCCATAAGATGAAATCTTCATGAGAAATCTCTTCGTCCCGACTATACTTTTGCATGCATAAGCTCTGCAGGAGGCTCTTGGCTAACAGAATGATAGGCGCGACGACAAGGTACACTCGACATGAAGATCGTCCAAATCTAAGTTGACCACCGAGGGCGCTCTCTCCATTACTGGAACTGTGGTGATTACGTTCCTGTCGTTACTGATCCATTTGGTAAGTCGAAACCCTCCTCTTGACAGCAATTCTCGAAACTGGCCAGACAAGCGTGCCACTTTGTCAGTCGTAGGGACTGACTTAAGGCAATCGTCTTAATAAAGGTTCCGGTTGACAGTGTTAATGGTTTCCTCATCAAATTTGTCCAGATTATCCAAGTCTGTCTTTTTAAGACAAAAACTCGCGCAACTTGGAGAAGACGTGGCTCCAAATGAGTGCACTAATATTTGATGATCAACTGGCTCTTTGGCGAGATCGTTGTTTGGCCACCACAGGAATCCGCGTATGAGAAAGAAAAAATGTTTACGGTTATTTCTTCTCTCAAACACTTTAATATTTAGATACCAAATAATCTTGATACTGAATATCATTGCACCCTATTATAAAAAAAATTGCCCCTGATTGCTTTGTCAACTTGAATGTATGATGTAATATAGCTTGTGATTTGTGGGATTTTCACAAGTATACTAGAAATACCCAAAGAGGGTAATGATGTACTTAATGCAAAGCATTTTGGTACAAAGTCTGCTTTCTTCACCTTAGCCCTAACCGTAACCCTATCCCAAACCCAGGGTAGGGATTAGGATTAGGGTTAGGGTTAGGGTTAGGGTTAGGGTTAGGGTTAGGATAGCTTGCAGTTAGAGTCAGAGTTAGGACTTGGGTGCGGGTGGGATTACGATAAGGCTGAGGGTTTAAATTTTTTTCTGAAAGCATCCAATTTCTGTTTTTTGGCATTGTGTTCGGCTGTAAACTTAGCAACTACTTGAAAGTTTGCTTAAAATCAAAATATACAATTTTTTGCCAAAATAACTTCCAAAAAAAAAAAAAACAAAAACGTATTTTCAGCCCAAATTGACAGCAAGGATACACAAGAACATTTGCTTATTGCCTTATTTGTTTTATTGTCCTAACTTATGAATTTGATTTTGGCATTTCAAACAAAAACTCCGCTAGAGCATTAATTGAATGACATATCATGCACTTACTTAGGAGCATCAACACTTTTGGAATTCAGAAAAATAACTTTTTACTGCGTTTAAGGATCGCTGGATATAACCTGTACAACCAAGATGAATCTTCATCCATTATTTGTCATAACTTATATCAAACTAGAAATTCAAGTAATGAAATGAGGGTACTAGCCCTTTAATAGTGTTCAAAATTTCCATTTGCAGGGGTACCTGTTGCTACTGGAGAAGAATCATTCTTTAACCCTTGACCCCCCTAAGGGAGACAGTAAGTACAGATATCCTCTTCCCTAAGGGCAACTAGCTCAAAAGGGAGTGATCTCAGGGACTCTTCGAAAAAGTTTTCTACAGCAATAACTAAGCTCTACAGAAGCACACAATGGAGACAAAAGTTGTAAGAGAATCAATGTATTCTTTAATTCTTGGTCCCTCCCAGGCCAACCTATTGTACAAATCTCATGACATCTGGCCCAGTTTCATCAGTCAATTTTTCAAGCTTCAAGCTTTTCCTGCAATTATGTACTTGTTCTTGAAGCTGACAATTAACAAGGTTCCTGTAAATTAAGTTTACATGACCAACTAACAATTTGTCTGATAAAACCAAAGCTTGGTATAGTTGAACATTACTACTTTTATTTTAATATTACTTTTCCAGCTGATGTATATTATTTGAATTACAAGTCTTATTCGCGTGTTAAAATCACCTACGGACAAGGCATACACTTTGTACCAAAATTGCTTCACATCAAGTACATCATCTAGTACATCATTACCATCGTCAGGTATTTCTAACTTACTTCTGAAAATCACACAAATCATAAACTATATACAGCATACAATCAGCAGAAAATTATAAGAAAGGAATGCAGTAATCTTTAATAATAAGATTACTAAGTAGCTAAATAACAAATAGCCCACTCAAACTGTGCTTGTAGCCGGAGATTTGGCTGTCTACAACAAAAATCTGCTGCTTACTTCACACTTGTTAGACTTCTAGTCTGGACAAGGTTCGGCCTCTACCTCCTATTACTAAAACCAGCTTGCCTACTTCTCATAAACATATTGACTAGGCTGAAAAAAATGTTTGAGAGAAAATTGGCCATAGCAAGCCAACTTCCTGCGAAATAAGAAACATAAAACTAACACTTCAAACTAAAACAGAATATAAGCCCTGCAGGGTTTGGCTCTCGATAAAATTGTTCAAATAGCCAATCCAGAGTTTTACTGCTCACTCAAAATGGGCTGACAGCCTGCGATTTGGCCTCCTACAATGAAGTACCTTCCGCTGCCTTCACACTTTTCAGACTGCTTTTCAGGAAGACGTTTGGCTTCTGCTGCCTATAATTACTACAGCCAGCTTGTCTACTACTCAAAAACATTTCGATTTGGCTGTGCAAGTCTTATTAACATAATAAAATCTGCAGCTAGATTACAGTAAAGCAGACTTTGTACCAAAATGCTTTGCATTACCCTCTTTGGGTATTTCTAGTTTACTTGTGAAAATCCCACAAATCACAAGCTATATTACAGGTTTACAGTCAAGTCGCCCGAGAGTCATCTCGCCCGAAACCTGAGTTTTAGAGATTAGGATCAGATAATTGTACTCAACTGAAAACACGAAATTTTGTTGAAGAATACACCAAAACATTTTTACTGTGCTCAATCAATAAGGGCGCCTCAGCCTCCCCTCCCCTTGTTGATCTGTAAAGTCTAAGAAATTTTTAAGAAGCTTAGTCGTTATGTTTTAGATCACGGTCTGGTTTCACTCGCTGACAAATCAACACAAATTCTTTCACGTAATATCCACCCAGCTCAAGTTCTGTTTTTCCCTTAATTTCTCTAGTCTTCTGCAGATTTATTCGCCGCAATGTTTGCTTAAAATTTCTAAAATCCACCAAGGCGCGATCCCTTGATTTACCAACACGTAGAAGTCTACCAATTGTTTTTCCCAAGAGTCACCGCCTTTCAAACGGTAAGGGTTATTTTAAGTGTTTTTCTGGGAGACTTAAGCCGTTCCAACCTTGACTAGTTGCGTTTGAAACGGTTTTCTCCAAGAGAGCACGACGTTCGTTGGTGCTCAGCACGATTTACATTACACGGACGGAGATGTGCGAAGAACTTCAGCATTAACTATCTCTTGTTTTCAGATTGAAAACTGGAAATTTTGCTCCAATTCAAGTGATGACTGCGAGAGTGCTGATCGAGGAGAATTTATAGATGTCACTTTAGTCATCAAAAGTAGAGGAAAACCAAAGTTTCGTTCCGAAGAAGAAAAAGAAAAGCTATTAAACAAAGCTCGCGCCGGACGACACGGTGGACATGGAGGAGGAGAGGGACATAACCATAACGGTGGAGATGGAAAAGAAAAAGGTTCACAGGAATACCATCCCAGGTGCTTCAAAAGGGGGAAGTACAACAAATGTCCCAAAGAGTTTGATATCGGAGGGGGATCAGACATGATGCTCAGCTCACAGGTAAAACATTATAAGTTCACGGGCGAAATGCATTGAAGTTCTCAGTAAAGATAAAAAAACCTTAATTAGCCAAGAAAACCATTTTAAAATGTCAATTGGGTTATCAGTTTACTGATAAGTCTTAAACAAGAGATTCATGTAAATAGCTTTTTAAACTCTTGGTCTTAGAACATACGCCCACGACATCCTTTACCTCGATGTATCTATGAATCAAGTGAACAGAGAATAATTGAATTAGCTTTCCCAAATCCAGGCCATAGTGATAGGTGTGACAAAAAGAGCGTCGTTCAACCGCTCTATTTGGTAATTATTTTGTCTTCTATCATTATTCGATCTACAGCTGATCTTAAAAGCAGTGTTTTTTTTTTCACACTGAACAACCGCTTAAGATGAGGCCTGGCTATTTTTTCCAGTCCTGTTTGTTGTCCTTGAAGATGGCAGCCCTACCCGAAGCTTCTCAGATATCTCAAATGAAGAATTCACGGAAAAACAGGTTAGGCTTATCAAATAGTCAGTTAGGCTTATCATTCGCGAGAGGGCTGGATCGAGGGAGCCTTTCAATCAGCCCAGAATTCGATGAATATCTCTCTTGAGGAGCTGCTGGGAGCAGACTTTTGACGATTTCGGACTGCTAGTAAGACGAACGAAGTTGTTCATGAAGACATATAAATCTAAATAGGTCGAAAATCTTATTCCGATTAGAAACATATTTCAAGGCCCAATTTCTGGTACTATTCCTCCGATAATGTAACATTTTTTTAATGTAGACACGTACTAGCAACTTGCTAAGCCATAATTGAAATTCATGGGATGATGTTTTCATCTCACTATTTTGTGTATCGTAATATCTTCTACCTTTTCCTCTTATTCTCTTGTTTTTAAAGCCAGGAAAAGTTTCGGTTAACCCAACTCCACAAGGCTGATTTTTTAAGTATGATTACGCATATTATACCAAAACAAAACGTTTATCTAGCTTCAGCGAATTAAGTAGCGGTTATTTGCCCAAGGCGAAGTCAATATTACTCGACAGTCCCCCAATCGATTTGGCAGGAGTAACTCGACAGTCTTTACTCATCCGAAAGAGGGTAGATGTCTCTCGGAGAATTATCTTGATATTTTCAAAGCAACTGTAATTTCTTTCGTTTCCTTTGTTTTTTTTTCTAAAACTCAACTTCCAGAAAAAAAAATTATCTTCCGGACGAATAAAGACCTTAGTGCCTTACGGAGTTTTAATTAAGCACCTTTGTGTGCTTGACGCCGTAAAATTTAACTTGGACTAGAGTCGGTGAGTCCAAAAAAGTGTTATTCACCATATGCTTCAAATTATAAGAAATGCGTCGAGATATTTCCATATGATTTAAATAAAAATAAAATACTAAACGTTCACACAAATTTCAATTTGAAATTGAATGTTTCCTTCATTTAGTATCAACAAATATCACTGAACTAAAATTCTTTCATCGTAGTCGTCTAAAGTACATTGCTCTGCGATTGAAACTTTTGTTTGATCTGCTCGGCGTATTTAAGCGTCTACAAAATTCATCCGTTTTAATAAAATTTTGCACAGTTCTCTCGGCAGAATCTTAGCTCTCTGTCTTGGTGTATCTGCAGAGTATATGAGATGATAAATGAAATTCATATTAAACTGAAACGGAAGAACGCCCTTTCTGAAATGCGTTGTTTGGAACGTTAGAGTTTCGTAGGTGGTAATAAATTATTAACATAAAAAGCACCTTAGATTAAAGCTGTAAACATCTTAAAATTGGCTTGTGCTAAAAGCTTTTTCTAATTTTCAGAATTTAGCATATTACGCCACCCCTTCTTTCATCTGTAACTAGAATTTTCTCTAATTTATTTTTCCACCTGCTAGGTCTTGCTCGCCCAAAAAGACAAGTTTTCAGTTGTATACGAGTTTTTGGCCTATATCAGCTTTATTTAATTTATTACAGCTTATCCTGACAACGGTATTGTAGTTTTGCAGAAGTCAAGAATAGCCGTGTGGCTTGGAGATTGAGCGATCGCTTACTTTGATAACAGCTATTCACTTTATCTCCTTCTGTTTCATGAAGAATGGAATCTAGAAATTACTGAAAGACATCGTTTAAAAGCAAAAATCACACTGTCACTGATGGGAATCTTATCGTGCTCTCTCAGTAAAAATGGGATCACAACTGCTCCTGTTGTTTTTCTGTCTTTGTATTTTCAGTACGTTGTTGTTTCTTTAATAAGACTGGTTGAAGCATCTTTTTCCAATTTTCAGAACAAAACCCCTTCCAGGGATTTTAAAACTGATTCATCCGGCTGATGTGAACGGAAAAAATTCACAGGTACTCACACGTCACACGATACTTCATCTTGTCGACAGCGCTGCATATCTACTTTCCTTTCCTTGTTTCATATGTCATATTCATTTCTGTTCTTGGTCATTTTGAGATAGGCAACCTAGACCTTTCATAGCTAAGCTAAAACTATGGGCAGGGGAATGTATTTATTAATAGTTGATAAGTAGAGGAGGTGGCAAAAACCTCAGGCTGATATTTGAATGCCGCGCTTTTCTGGAGCAAGTACTTCGTTTGCCTGCAGTGTAAGAGGGAAGGTTTTTTTTTTTTTTTTTACTCTACGTTGTGGTTCTAAAGATTATCATCAGTATCGATCCCCAGACTAGTTATTCCTGTATTAAGCGCACTTTAAAAAATGATTTTAACATTACGGTTTTCAATTAGGAGAGAAAATTTCGAATTGGTCGTAAGGTCTGTTTCACCGCACTAAGCCAGTTCGCTCTCATGCAATATGAAAATAATCTACAATTGAATATAATTTGATGACGAAAATTAGTTTGGCTGAAGAACAGGGAGTGTCAGGCCAATTTCATGGTAATTTAACTGGTTTTTTTTTAATCGAAGCTCCTTCCAGTTTTTGTGGGTCATTAGACGCTTTACAGGGTAGAAGAATATTCTATTTCGAAGCACCTTGGTCAGTAGCTCTGGGTATTTATGCATCTTCTTTTAGTGCTTCCACTTAACTCTATCAACAACAGAGATAAAGTTAAGGTAGAGTTGAAGCTATTAGTGAATAATAATTATTCAATGAAGTCTTGATATCTTGCATATTGCGACACCATGAAATTGGCTCAAAGGGCCTTCACCACTAACATTTCGTAGTTAGTCATATTCCATTGCTTTCTCTCGATCCGTGTTCCGTTTCACATTCGTTTTCTAATTCCTGAATGAATGTTTATATTCAACATTCTGTGCTGTGTGATACTACTGTAACAGTTTTAAGATCTGGAAATCTCTTATCCTTTTTTTTTATTATTCATGCGGCTTAATCAGAGACTCCACAAAATGGAATGAGTACGCTGAATGACTTATTCATCATTCGATTAAGTGCTCTCTAAATTGAAGTGCAATTCTTATACTTAACGAAAGTGTTATCAGGCTTACAGCAACCACATCAATCATATCCAATTTGGAAACACCTTGTCCAAACAGGTCGTCTGATAAACACACTAATCCGAGTTTTATCAGGCGGATGTTTTTCGTGATGCTTTTCAGAGTTCCATTCTCTTCTTTTAAATCTTATTTCTATGAGGGGGTGATTTATGCAATTAACTCTGGTTTTTCCATTTAATCTTCCATATCCGGATGGCCCATGATTTGTCTTCATTAGGTATTCCCGTTTTTTTCTTTTTCAGCCAAAGCTTTAGGATTAAATTATATCTGAAATTGTGGGGATTTTTCAAAGTCAGAGTTCCCTGACTTCAATTCTTTTCATCTAAATCTTAGTTCGAAGTGTGGGTGATCTATGCAATTAACTTTGCTTTTGGCTCCTAATCTTCCATATTCAGATAGCTTTTGACCTGTCTTCATATCATTTCAACGGTAGGAATGTACTACAGAGATTTTATTTTTCACCATAACATTTTTTATATTTTCAAAAATTAAATTACTTTGAAATTAAGATCAATTCATAAATGTCAGAAATCTCACAGGAAATCCAAACTCTAAGAACTTTCTTCATCTGAGACGAGTTAGCAATTATGAGATTACAATATTTCCTTAGTTTATGGCGTTAAAATATTTTCTCTGCAGTAAATGGATCGAGTATTCTCGGGGCGTTTTACAAACGGCTTTTGGGGAAAACGGACGATTATGATCCCTTATCATACTACACCGTTTACAAAATAATTACCGAGTTTCTCCTTCTGTTTCTTAATACTCTTTTTTGCAGAAAATTCATAAAAAATTTTTAATGTCTAACAGCGTTATCAGTATGGCATGGTCTTTTCGTGACCTTATACGGAAGTAGTTCGTGTTTAAAAGGTCGTATGCTACTCGCTTTGATTTGTGCTTGCTGTGAGACAATGTTGAATTTTGGTCAGTGATGTTGACATGTTTGTCCACTTGATACCGTCGTTTAGTTTATTACTCTGGTATCTTCATGAGTGTTTTGCTATCCTGTCAGCATGATACTTACTGGCGAGAAGCTGAGAGCATCTTATGGGCCGCATGAATTTGTAAGAAAAGCAGAAATGCCGAGAGTTCTAAGATCTATTTTTGTCAAAGTTTTGAAATCATAGATAAACCCAGGGAGATATTAATGACAGAAGTACCAAAGTCGCTTTTTCACAGACCAGCACATTTCAAGATCCTTCCACATTAGTCATCATAATGAATTGGAAACTTTCCTCCCCATATCAGACACACTTCATCTTAATTACAACTGGATTGTTTACATTCCGAACAAAAAACGGCTGCCGCTAGTCACACAGGACTTTTGTGTTTTTTGTTTATCTTTTCAATCCACAAAGATAATTTGTCTTTCTGCATAACACCGGTAATAAGAGAACGAAATTGGTAACCTTTTACAAAAAACCATAACAGTTATCGGGGAGGTATTGGAACACCCTCGCAGAAGTCGAGAATCTTCATGGAAATCCCCAGCGATAAATTAAAATTCTCTTCTTTGATAAGTGTGTGTCATTTTCTCTTTGGTAGCTTTTTTGGCCGTTTCTATGTTGAATAATGGTAAATATATTTAATTCAATCTTTATGTAATTAGTACGCTTCAATATAGAATAAGCCGTCCATATGGAAATCCGTATTTCAGTGATTATGGAACCTCTACATCCCGTTTTTTAATTCTACGAGAGAACAATTTCATTGCCTTTTGTAGCTTGGGGATGACTTTTTTCCTTTTAGAACGTATCAGATTTAATTTTCAGACATACTTTTGGTTTTTGTTCAAAGAATATCAAACTTGACTTGCATTCGAGATGGCGCACCCCGATTTCAGCAAGTTCGTTTCAACCTAAAGTTAATTTGATTTCCCGCCAAAACGGGCATCGTTTATGCTCAAAGACAAGTAGATGTGGGATTTTGCATCTCTGGTCAAATGGAATATCCATAGTTTTTATTTACTTTGTTCTGGGCAAATAAAAAAAAAAAATGAAAAATAGCTTTCGCAATCATTTTGACACGCACAAAAAAAAAAGTCTCCAAAAGGTCAAATGTAGATATGACACAAAAAATTATAAAGCGATTTTTCGCGGTGTCGCCTGTTAACCTCTTGCGATTTGCCAAGATATGCCAAATTGTGATATCTTTTCAATATCTGCAATCGAAAGACATGTATTCCGGCGTACTGCCAAATGTTTGCCCAACTAAAATTTCTTTATCCATATGCATTTCAAGTGACAAATTGGGTCAACAACATGTCAAATTTGAGTCTCTAGAAAAGTATTTCTTGAAGTAATTTCTAAAGAAGGTTTTTTTCATTGTCAGGTACGTATCATTTTTTTTCCTCAGACTATTCAATACTTTGGTTTTCGATTATCGACAGGGAATCATTAATTCATAAACAGGCGTTGTAACTTGTCTGGGAAACCGCCAAAAAATTTAACGCAGGATGATATGGGCAGATTCTCAGTTAAATTCATTTCACAAAGAAATTGTGAAGTGAAATATGGATCCAGTCAACGGCTTTTCAGCTGCATCTCAAGTAGCACTCTCTTTAAAATTATTCGCTTTTGGCGGAAAGAAGTCATACAGTGAACCTGACATGAAGACAATACATAATTTTCATTTTCTGACATCTTTTACACAAAAAAATTCCCCCAAAATTAATCACGTTAACATTTCAATGTGTAGAGATAATTAAGCAATTGAGGCCTCCTTTGCATAGAGAGCTAAAAAATCCCAGTTAATCTCGCAATCATGGCAAATCCTTGCTAATCATTTATTAAAGTCAACCGTACTGATTCCAAAGCATTGTCTCGCCGTATAGGAGCAAATAATTTACTTTTGTTTGTTTGCCAGAATACACAATGCCACCTTTCTCCAACTCAGTTTATTTCATGAACATGCTGTATTGATTTTTGTATTAAAAAGCAAGCTTTTAAGTCGGCGGTTCTTTTGTAGCTTAGCTACAGTTGACATTACAGATTTTAATATTCTAGCGAATTTTTACCAAAATGTCAGTTCAAAGGCTATTTAACAGGCTTTTTAAATACTCTTTACAAAAATAAAAAACTATCTTGGATTTCGCAATTGTATTTCTTTTTTTAGAGAAATCGTGCTAATATGTAGGCTGGTAACTGTGTTTTGCTTCTGATTATCTAAAACACGAATGATTTCAAAGTAAATCACAATTCATATTGAGTTTTAAATTCCTTTCATAAAAGCTTAATGGGGAGTCAAGGTGTCACCAGCCCTGTCAAAAACTGTAACACAAAATACTTCAATATTTTTCTTTTCTGGAAAGAAAAAAACAAGACTTTTTAAAGATTTATGCCGCGTGAGCGCAGTACAACACCCTGGATCGAAAAAACCAAACGAAATGTTGATATCAAGTCTTAGTAACATATCAAATTCGAAAGGAAAAAAACAGCAGGACAATTAGAAATTTAAAAACAAAACCGCCAATATTTCGTTCAATTCAGTGATTTGCTTTCAGTGATAGCCTCCTCAGAACCATGTCGACCAAAAGAAACCGTGCGGCATCGGGAAAGACGCAGAAACGCGTTCCTGAAGTCGCGCTTGAAAAACGCATACACCGCGGCGTTCAACAGCGACCCTGCTGTCATGGTGTACCACGAAACTGTCCCGAGTACAGGTGGAATGATATCGTCTCTTTGTAAAGCATCCGCGGCGGTCATGAAGAACACAGGCATCCAGCTTATAACGAAGATACCTGCTATCATAGCAAAAACTCTAGCGACGCGCCCCTCGCCAGTGACTCGTTTACCTTCGCGAGCAGTCTGTTGTTGATTATCGTAAGTTGCAAGTTTTGCAAGGTTCTTTACCTGTCGCGCGACTTCACGGAAGATCTTGATGTAGGCGAACAGGATGAAAATGTAAGGAACTACAACACCGCTTACAATGAAGAACAGATAGACTTTTTCTGCAGTTGTACCTTTCTCGTTGTCCCAGATCAACGGTAGAAGGCTCAGTGGAATGGGTAAAATCCAGGCCGTGAGCAAGATTTTGACAAAATGTCTAGTCATCGTGTAAGAATATCGCAGCGAGTTCATAACGGCCAAATAGCGGTCCAGCGTTACCGCAAACAAATTGGTAACGTTCGCGAAAAGAATAAGCGACACCAGATATCCATTGGCAGGGTTGGATTGGTCCGCTATGTCCACTGGAATTAACACAGCACCAAAGAGGATATCTGAAAGGGCCAAAGACACTATAAAACCGTTTGTGAAAGTTCGCAATTTGCGGAAGCGATACACCAGAAAGCAGACCAGGAGATTTTCCAACGTAATTAAAACGCCAAGGATACCCAAAGGTATTGCTTCGCTGAGCGGTTTTGTCGTCGATTCTGTTTGATTAGCCATTTTTTACACGGATAATCGATTCAAAGGTCCGCGTTGGCCACAGTACGTCCCGATGCGATCGCAAATTTCAATTAGCTTGTGAAAGCCGAGTCGCGCTGGGGTTCCCCCTAAAGCAATTCAATAACTTGTTTCTTCGTTCAAATTCAGAATTTCACGATGTCCTGCGCGCCTTGTATTGTCTCGTTTTTCTTTGTACTCTCACTTTTAAACACACAATTCTAACCAAATGTTTTTTCGTTCAATATTCGACATCCGTGGTGAGTCTGTTGAACGGAGCTCACAGCCGTGAAGAGCTCTATCGATGACTCGGAATCCCCTTTTAAGCTCTGCACGGTTCTAATTCTACCAATCGGAATTCTTCTATGGGAAAACAAAGGCTTGCATGAGTGGAGTCACACTAAAGTGTCTTTGTCCTTGAATTAGCAACTCAGTTGGGCTGGCTTGCTTTATCTACGATTAATGACCGATAACCTCTCTACCAAAATGCGAGTTATGTCCAACCAACACAAGGGGATAAATATAAATAGCTTAGTTTCCTTTTTCGCGGTAATTGAAAAACCATTTTGCTGGTTCAATTGACAGGTAAAAAAAAATAATGATCCATCAAAACTTTTTGCGAACCACAACATAGTTTGAAGCTTGCGTGTTACTCAGTAAAAGCAACATGCACGCAAGATTTGTCGAGCAAAATAAAAATCTGACTGAAATGATGTAATTTTTCCAACTGGACTAAAAGACTAAGGTGCTTGCTTTTGCCACACGGAATATTCTGAAACGTTATTTTTGGCTATTTTTATTTTCGAGGTGCATAGCATGCTTCTCTCGTTCCAGGATTTTAGCTCCTTGAACGTAAATTCGGCAAATAACATGTTCGATCACAGCTATATTTTATAACAATAAAGATATGAAATAAACTCCGTCGTAGCTTGCTAAGTGGCGTCTACTCGGTCGAATCGTGTCCAAAAGCATTGCGAGAAGATATTCCGCCCTCGCGGTGTAATTTATCTTCTGCTTAACAAACCCTTCATTGTTCAGCTGTTCCCGCATGTCGCGAACTTTTAAAGTCAAATAACGCTGAAGTTGGGGTAGACTCATTGTCTACGGAATCTTTGAATGAGTTGTTTATTGCATGAACTGCAGCTCAAGCCTCTAGAGCAGGTGTTTCAAGATCCCGCAAAATTTGTTCATATTCGAAGTGATGTTTGTTTCGTCGAATAGTACTTGTCAATTCAATATATAACATAGCTAGAAAAATTTGTCTAATCAAATTCAATTGCACGAACTTGCTTCATATTCCTATTGTGCACGCTCATGACGTCATCAAACAAATCCCTTGGGGAAAACTTTTCGTATAAAACAATTGGTTCATGCGTCAGCTGTGCGTTCATCGAGATATGAAGCACTTGGGAAGTTTTGGTAGCACTCAAGAAGCTAGAGTTGCTGGAGGCTACGCCTCGAGCAACTCTTACGCATCTTTCGTCTTCTCCAAGCTTCCCGCGTGCTTCATATCTCGATGAACGCACGCTGACGTATGAACCAATTGTTAATTATAACCCTAACCTCCACTGGACACCTCGCTTTGCTCGTGCATCATGAGGCACATCCTGGATGTTTCCAAGTTCGAGATGATTTGTTTTGGATCACGTTAAGTTTTCTTTACACTTTTTGTTGCAATGAATTTTCTTGAAACTGTTTCCGTGAACCAGGCTTTCGGATTTTTTTTCTTCATTAGGAAATGCCAACCTCCTGTCCACAATTATGTTTGCCCAAAAAAGCACAAAACACCAGAGGCAATGTACACTTAGACATCAATACCGCCGTTGGGAATGATAAAATACGATTGTATCGTAAATAAGCGACAGAAAATAGGATAAACTCGGAGAGATTCAAATTTAACTGTATTTTCATGAACATGGCATTTTTGTGCTTGTCCATCTATTTGCACGACATTCATTTCGTAAAACAAATCGAGCTCAATGCTTATCAATAGAGATGCAAATTAAACCTACGCTGGCTTTGAGCATCTTTTTTGAACACTAAATTGACTTCGCCTGTAGAGTGAAATTTGACTCCGTCTCTAAGCACGAGAAAACGAAAATTAGAAAGCGTTTGTTGCTTTGTCGGTTACCTTTTCCTGCGATACATTTCAAGGCACATTCTTTATATTGAACTGAGCCATCTGTAGTCTTAAATGAGAAGGTTTTATCCGGTCATAAAACTTAAAAGCAAATTAAATGACACATTTTAGACACATCCTTTCCTCCTGATACTTGAATGAGAATCTTAAAAAAGCTCGACACTGAATTGACATCTTTATACACAAGGAGTCCTCGGTAGATCTTGATGAAGAAGCATCATACGTGAAAGCTCAGAACTAAGCCTTATATAAGCTTTACGTTTCGTAATAAACAGCTAAGAGGCTCTTTGGCCCCCTAGTTTATTTTGATGTAAATTGTTTTAATTGAAATTTAAATCCTTCTCGTATGAGAGCTCGAATGGAGAGCACTGAAGCTCCATAAAACGAAAGAAAAATACTCAATACTGAGACTTGATTCATTTTTCGACTAGATACGAGAGAAAATAACACTATATTGCTAAACAGTGTTACTGAGACTTAGTCAAGAATTAAATTCAGTTCAGAAAAGACATTTTTCTTTAAACGAAATTTCCATTTTGTGATTAGTCTCACCTTTATATGCAACATATTTAATTGTTGCATGGAATCGAGTAGTTTACTCACGATAAATACTGTCTTTACGTGTTGCACGGAAATGCTTCAATTTTATATTTGTAAAGAATATATATCATTCTCAAAGATTTTATTAAGATAAATGCGTTGCGTATTTCGTAGGATTCGATTATCACGGTAAATATAATTTTTTGCTGAGGTCATCATGACACGAAATAGAAAAGAAATACGTATTTTTCTTGTGTGAAATCGCTAATATAATTCATTTCTAGAAGTGAACAAAAGCGGTTAATCCGTTTGTAAAACGTGAAAGTAAAAATAAGCTCCACCCTTTGGAAAGTTTTTTTTCCATCCTGAGACTCATTCAAGAAGATGTCTGCAGGACTTGCCGCTGAATTGACAACTTTTCACAACAAGAGTCACACGTCTTTGAGAAGGAAGAGTCCCCGTATAGCCTCCCGACAATAAGCTTTATATTTCACGATAAAGAGCTAGGAGAATCTCTTTATATTCAGCAACTACGTTTGTATTGATGTGAATCATTTTAATTAAGATTGAAATCCTTTACAAAAGCTCGTCTCGAGATCAACGAAATCGTTTTAAAAAAAAGGAAAATCTTTACACTTGTGATTCAATTTCCATCTTTCCACAAAGTACTACTTCCTAAACGTAAAAAGGAAAATCAGCGAGGCATTTATGCAACGCAGAAAATCTTACAAGAACTGAAGAGGAGCTTCGATAACTTGCCTACAGATTAGTCTTTTAGTCAGTGCAGCAGATGTATTTTCTCTCGTATCTGGTTTGGATTTTGCCCGATAAGATTATGATTTACTGTCTATGCAAATGCACAAGCAATCTTGAAAGCTTTAGATTTATTTTTTTGATAATATTCTTTCCTGGAGTTGTGTTTCGACGAAGACACAGCGTTAATGGAACGAATTAATTAATTAATCTGTGCACCACTAAACATGATTTGTAATTTTTCTGTCCAGTTGATCGTCTAACTTCTTAGAAAGTCGCAAACTGAAAGAAATTTTAAGGTATATATGGAGAGCTTATACTCATTTGAACCAAATATAATTCGATTAAAAGCTTCTGCTGATAATCTCGGCTTTCTTGAAATTGATACCAAAATCAATGTGATCTTTAACAATCTCTATCATCTTTAATTTATTGAAGCAAATGTCTATCCGTAGGGAAGAATATTTAAGCCCGTAGAGGGGCACGAAAATATATTCTTTATATCGAGTGATCTTTGTTAGAAATATCACCGGGGTATTCTTCCACGACTAAAATCCCTTGGTTTTTCAACAAAACAATGGACTAGTGTCAACAGTTAACTATGATTTTTAAGGCTACTCGTACTTTGATTTTAACCCTTAAACCCCTGAGAATGACTAGCATCTAATTTCTCCTTACAATATCACCCCCAAAATCACACATTAAGGTTACAAGAAAAAAGGAAGTGATCAGCAATGATAGGAGCTCTAGATTGTTAAACAAATTCTCCTTAGCAGTGCTTTAGGAAAATTATTGAGAACAGTATGGAGAATATGTTTACTGATGTCAGGTTGTAAAGAGTTAATTGACGCTGCAACTTTTTATTATAAGGTTGTTATCAATTCATTATCATTCTATTTGGCCTGCCAACTTGCCTTTCCTTTTTATTTCAGCTGACGGAAAACTGAATAGGCGTCGATAAATGAGAGGTGATATATAGGGTATACCAATTTACTACCTTTTCTTTCACCCTAGGGGTAACCCCAATGTACAGATTACTCGATGGGTTACTGTGTAGCACGAGAACCTTAGGATTCTTATGTAACCCGTACTACCCACGGATTAGCTATCATTTGAGTTTTGCGGGAGCAAAGTTTTTGTTTTCGAGATGAAAAAATAAACCATAAACTTGTCTCTGGACTTATTTTCCTGATTTTGAGTAAGCTGCTGAACATAAAGCGACCAAAAAAAGAAACCATACACTATGATTTACAAATTTTCTTATCACAGAAGTTATGTGAAGAGTTGCTACACAGTGGATGATTCGTAGATGGATATTCCGAGTGAGTTCGAATACAAAGGTTGAAGAGTCCTCTTCTATTTCTCGTTGACCAAAAATGTGTCAAAAATGGTACAAAATTTCTTGACCCAACAGATCTCTTAGTGGCCTATTGTTGTTTCGTCAAAGTATCGCGTTCTGCAAACATTGAAAGAGATTCGGTACATCATCATTAAAAGGTTGCGTTATCCTTTCTTTGTAGTTATCATCGGTAGAGGTGCAATCATATGAATCGGTGATCTCGATTGCTCATGACCCGAGATCTAAACAGTGGCTCAGATGGAAGAACAGGTATTAAAAAAGTGAACTTTGTGAAAGATCATAATTTGCATCGTCTCGTCTCCACAAGGATTCTCATTGGTGAGATGTTACTTACAACTCGATTTTGACATGGGAACTCCGTAAGGGGCCCCTCACTCTGGGTAATGAAAAGAAAATTCTCAAACAGGAAAGTAAAATCATCCCTTGAAAACCAAGTACACACACCCACCCATTCACAATTTCCTTCAATTAAGCCTCTGTCATGCCGGTGTTACCCCCGAGAATCCACATTATAGATATTCATTTATAACTGATATCAAAGACCATTTATACATTTCTTAAATTTATGTTAAACCTGGTGTTAGGGGTCCGGTTTATACTGAACAAGAAAGCTGATAAAAACTCTTTATCAGAAACCACAATATTTCAGTGACATATGTACACGTAGCAACAAACTTTCTACTTGGTAAAATAAGCTGATAAAAACATTTTATCTTCAAAGATATCGAATATATTTAAAACATTCTTACAGTTGAGAACTACCTTCTATTGATGCCTACTATTCGTAAACAAGATCCCCGTCAACATATAGTCTTTCGTTCACGTAAAAATTGTTTTATAAAAAACTTAAATTTCGGAGCCCCTCTATTGAATTATTAACAGCAATAAAATGACAACCTATTTGGAGGGAGATATCTAAAAAGTACAAGCATAGATTTCTTCTGTGCTTGCACTACTGTTTCTTCTAGACTTGGCACAAATGCTGATCAGACAATCGGGGGAGATAGTTACATGCACAATCTCAATGTTCCTCTGAATGTCTTTTGAAACTTTTGAAAACACCAACGATACAACTTTTAACACAAGTTCCATCCATAAATATTTTAGTTAGAAGATAAATTCAACCTTCCTTGCATCGTATAATGACGAGTTTTACCATAGCACGTGTCACTGCACCGTAAATGAAAGGAAATTTGTGAAATTTATATAGAGGCCTGTGTACATTCACGAGTACAACGACAGGTCTTTCCAGACCGCTGTACTTAAGAACCGTGCTGATGACAATGTTTTCAGAATCATTGTCCTTTGCAGGCCTCCAAGATAAACCATTTAACTTCGCAGAAAGCTCGTCCTCAGAAGGAATTTTATCATTCTTCAAAAACAATACAGCGATATCTCTCTCATTGTACCCCTCTTCCAAAAACTGGCGCAACGTAGTAAAGAGAACATCCAGTTCGGTTTTTTCGCTCTTTGAATAATATATTGTCCTAACATCGTCTCCATCGAAGTCGTGCCCTATCTCAACCTTGTCTTTCGAATCATCATCGACAAGATATTTTTTTGCATGCTTGAATATCTTCGCTGAGTTACGAATGACCTTTCGTAACCTAACGTGCGGTTCTTGCCTGGTTTCGTCAGGAATACCTGGTAAGGAAGAAAGAAAGTGAGTAAGTAAGTGGGTAAATGAATGATTGAGTGGGTGAATGAGTGGTTGGGTGGGTAGGTGGATGAGTGAGTGAGTGGGTGGGTGAAGGGTGGATGAGTGAGTGAGTGAGTGAGTGGGTGGGTGGGTGGATGGGTGAACCAGTGGGTGGGTTAGTGAGTGAATGAGTAAGTGAGTGAGTGAGTGAGTAAACAATACCTTTATTTTGGACACAGTGGTGGTTAAAGAATGAAGCTTGTGGGGTCTTATATCAAAAGATAAAGGTTAAATAAACTAAATAAATCTGGATAAAATACATGTATATGTACAATTTTGAGTTAACAAAAGTAAAATATAGCTGAAACTAGGATGAATATTAAATTTGGACACACACCTGACGGAAAAGAGTGACTCTTTTGGCAGATGTCAATGAAACACCACAAGTATCCTGGTCTGTTGGAGTCATGCTGTCGCACTAGATTCCTCGCCTTCTCATACCAGGAAATTGTATCACGCTGCCGGAAGTTGTGAACTTCATCAAGTATCACATGCTTAGTTTGTGGAAACTCGGCATGGTTGATGAACGTTTCACGGCAAATGGCATTGCATAGATGGGTTTTCCTAACGAGTGAAACAAAATATGATTACATTACTTCGTTACACAAACTTTCACCAGACTGAGAAAAGATAATCACCAGGCTGGTTTTTGGTTTCAGACCTTTTTTTCGTACTTCGAATCTTAGTTGGATAACAGTAGCAAACGGCTGACTCAATACACCGATATCGCTTATATCAGGTAAAAGAAGTCCCAATTTTTTGCTAGATTTGGGTTTGGTCTCAACGGCATGAATCAACAAGAACAATTAGCGGGGAGGGGAACAAAAATATTTTGAGTTGATAACCAGTTTTCCGCTTGCATCATTTGCGAAGCAGACTAGTCCTTAAGTGGAGTTGTTGCCATTGGAAATTCTTACCTTACTTGGCTTGCAATGCCTTCATTTTCACAAACATAAAGGATTTCATCCCTTTGTAATTTCTCCCGGCGTCTAAGTTCTCGCATGAATTCCACTGCAACAAGGGTCTTTCCTGTTCCAGCGACTCCCTTTATCCATAATTCCCGATTTACTTCAATCTGCTGATGAACCAAACGAAACTGTTCCGTGCTAAGGAGGTTGAAAATGGTCACTCCTAACTTGCTGGACAGAGTAGAGGGCACAGCAGCAACAGTTATCACCATAGCTTTGAGTATTTCATTAAGTTTCTCTCGGGGAGTAAGGAGATCATAAGACTTCGGGTAGCGATCGTCAGGTACTGGGAGTCCCACTACTCCACCCGCGCCACATGGTAGCACGTGGTATGACACATAAAACTTTTGGCCCCTGGCGCCATTTTCGGAAAGTTTTTTCTTTATGGACTGTGCAGCCTTTTTGCTATATTTCATAGACTTCTCATCTGCCGCATCGCAGATAGTGTACAGGTGAAGTCCACCCATGTTTCGGCTGATAAGAAGAACGTCACAGATGACGCTATCGATTGCGGTACCTCCAGTATCGCGAAGCCAAGAACGTGATACAGCCAGAAAACCCCGATAACGGTCCCTGCAACAAACTTTCTGAATGTTGCGTATCGCTTGCTGTGCCTCTAGTGGAAAGGTAGACTCTATACCGCTTGGTGAAATTGAGAACTTCTCATCAACTGCAATTAAAATATCGAAAAACTGAGATAAGAGAAAAAAACTCGTGATAAAAATATTCCCTAGTCCACGTATTGCAATTCTTCTTGCCCGTGGCCAATTGCACACAGGAGTATGTCAACCGAGAGATATGGAAGCAACAAATATTGTACACATCTCTTAAGAACGTGCACATAGAGTACCTCACAGTGGGTTCCATGGATCGCAGGGAGGGGATTGTCAGTTTCATAATTTAAATACTATCTTTCATATCAAGGCAAAAAAAATATATTAAGGATGGAATGTTTTTCTTGTGTCCTGTGAAACAACTTGCTCAACCACACCCGTTATTTTTTTTAACCAGGTATTCAGACGCCAGCCAGTTGCTATGAAAATGTTTGTTTGTCCCAGAGAATCTAGCTTTTGAAAAGATAAGGCGGAGATTTATGTTGTGCGCATGTGCGGACGAAAGTTAATTACGACCTAATATCGTTTTCCTTACCATACCCCAACAACAGTCAACTGATAACAAGTAAGGATTAATGTTAGATTAGGGGAGGGGTCGGTGCGCAGTAGTTCAGAAACTGACATTGATCAAATTCTATCCAATACGAACCAGGAAGATGTCGAAAATCGGATAAAACGAATAAGTTGTCAATAAGCAAAAAACCGAAAAAGTTGTCAATAAGCTTTTTATAGAATAAGAGAGATAGTACGTTTTGAGCTCGTAAAGAAATAGAGAAGTATGTTTTTTCGTCCTATCACGAGCTTGGAACAAAGAAAAAAATCCGAGTCCCCATGAGGAATAGAACCTCAGACCTTCGGATTCCGCGCTCAGATGCTCTACCACTGAGCCACAGAGACTCTACGGTGAGCGAGGTCTATTACGAAGTTCATATGACACTGTCTATTGCTTGGATCATCAATGTCCATAGTGCCATGTTTGTGAATAGAAATAAGAGAGATGGTAAGTTTTGAGCTCGGTAAAGAAGTAAAGAAATAAAGAAATATGTTTTTCGTCTTGTTTTTCGAGCGTGGAACAAAGGAAAAAAAAACGGACGCGTGTCATATGAACTTCGTAATAGACCTCGCTCACCGTCGACTCTCTGCAGCTCAGTGGTAGAGTAACGGAGCGCGGAATATGAAGGTCGGAGGTTCGATTCCTCAAGGGGACTCAGGTTTTTTTCATTGTCCCACGCTCGTGACAGGACGAAAAACACTGATCTTTTTCTAAGCTTTTTATAGTTCTTACTGATTTCTGAAATGTAGCTTACCTGTAAAAAACGCATCCCTTATCCTCTGAACATCACCTTTCACCGTTAAAAGATGTCCATTAGATATGTGCATCCTTCGGAACCTTTTTAGCATATCTTTCATCACTAAAAAGTAAAAGAGATGACATGAAGGAAATTAAACATTTACCTGTGGTCATAGCTAGGGTTCGTGCTTTTGGGCTGACAATTGTAAAATCAAAACCGAAGTAACCATGGCGGCCCTTCAGAGCAAAGGAATATATGACAAGGAAAGCCGGAATAAAAACATGAAACCTGTCTGAAAGGCGGGAAAACACGATTGACCAAGTCGCATTTAGTTTTAGATTTGTATCTGATTTGTTGAAAGGATAGCACGAAATTTCTGGACCAATTATAGAGTGAAGAAAAGCAAAAACAGTGCAATCTTGGGCTACTTATGTTCTTGTAGTAAATATATTGAGAATTCTCCTAAACCAAAGCGATTCATTCGTTTTATGATTTGACCTGAATAACAAAATACACCTCTGGCTGAACTTGGAGGTATTATGAAAATGATCATCGTTTATTTCAATGATAAATCCAAAGAAAATTCAACCATTGTAAGTTTGTTTTATAAAATTTATAGACCACACTTTCTATCGGGACACCGACGGGATATCCCGCGCGGGATGTTAAGAGGACACCACGAAAGTTTGCAAATCAAGCACCGCAGAAGGGCGATTTCCAATTTTTCGAGAGAACTTCCAATATTTTAATTGCATTACACCGGTAAACTGATAAATTGTGCGGTTTATTGCCTTAATAAAATAATCATATTCTTTATTCTAAAAGCGCATGTTTTTGTATAAGTACACACCTCTGGTATTCCTTGGCAAATCTGCATCATCAGGCTTCATTCTCTCCTTCCACTTGTCAAATGCAGCGAGATGAGGAACCTGCTGGCCATTTATATCATATCGCAATTCATAACTTTCGGGGCATTTTGCAAAAATTCCACCAGAGTCGCGAATTCCTGCCATTTTAATTATTATGACAGACTTGGATTCAGATCCAGAGACACCAGAGAATGTTAAATCCCAATGGATGCCTCTTTTAAGCTCAAAATTACAGCAAATATTCTCAGTGAAAAGGGAAATGACACGTTCTTCAACATACTCTTTACTGTTGGTTCCCATGTCTACACCTGAAACTCTTCGGTCATCTCCTACTCCGATAAGAAGAACTCCACCATCACAGTTACCAAAAGCTGACAACTGTCTGGCGATGGTAAAACGCTGCTTATGTTGTGAAAACAAAAGAGATGTGAATTTTTTAAACTGAACCTGTTTGCCCTCGATCAAGCTGATTATCCCCTGGTCAAGAAAATAATCTGGTACCTTAGGAAGTTCTTTCAAGGGTACTCGTATATAGGAATTTAAATCCTTTTTGCAGCCTTCAAACTTCACAATTTTGACGACATCGTCGTACGTAGCTTCATAAACACCCGCATCTCCTGGTACAAATAAATTGTACTTCATTGTACAGAAGTGATTAGGAGCATTGATGAACAGCAATATTCTGTCAGACAGTACACTTCGGTCGAAAACATCGTCATACCTTGATGGACGAATCATTCTTCTCAATTGCTCCTCGATGGTTTGCCAGAAACTATCCACAGGATCCTTCTGACTTGTGCTACTATTCTGGGGGTCGGAAATTTTCATTTCCAACACTCCCCCACCAGAATTTAGGAGAGCGTTGCACATCCGTAGAATATTCTCGTGTTGAATGTCACTTTCTTCATTTCCTGATTCTTTGCCTTCTTTCTTCATCTCTTTTTTCTTCTTTTTCTGCTGACTTGCATAATTCGTTCCAATATTTATAGTGCAACACAGATGATTCCCACAGAATTCCCTGTATTCAATATATATAAAGTTTCACTAGGATATAAATCTGACAAGCAAAATTGAGGAGCAAAATGTAGAATGCTTGAGGATCCTCGCCAATATCTCGCTGGTGTTTAAAGAGTGGTTGCCATATAAAAGCAAATTCACCGCCCGTTTTTGTATTTCTTGCCTTTATTGCCTAGAAGTCCGAATTCTGTTTTCTTAGGGTCATTTCCCTCTATAAGAGTCGTTTTCCAGTCAAGAAATCAATTTGCACAATAAAGCTAAAATACATGCATGGAGGCCCAAACAGGAAATGTTCATGCATGAAATTTCACTTAACGTGCAGAAAAACAGTATTTGCAAACATCTTGCTGACAGCAACATGCTTCAGAAAACTTTACAGATGCAGTGGGTAGGATGCAGGTTTGCGGGAAATACATGCAAATGAAGTCTTTAACAGAATGAGTTCTAACTCAACCACGTTTTACTGAATGGACTGGGAGCCTTTAGGATTTGCTTGCCCTAATTTCCCCAAAACCTTTTTTTACAAGTTGGGATGAATTTTCCTGGTAGTAAGGATAGTGTAAACAATTATGTTTGATTACATTTTATTGGGTTTTGCTTGCCCTAATTTTCCCAAAACATTTTTTTTAAAGAATATAAATGTTTGTGAACACCTAGTACTGCAAACAATAACAATAAATGTGAAGTTTCTACCATATGCAGTAAGTTCGAAATAAGCAAAGTTTTCTTAAAATGCCAATATGCATTCTAGGAATCCTATTTCAGTATTATACTAGCAATATAATTTTAATTACCTGATACTGCCAGTTGCCTCAGTGCTTAGAGGGGAAGAATTTCCCTCTTGTGTGTCTTCACTTTCATTAATTTCCATAAGTTCAACATCATTTTCTTGGGATGAATTTTCCCTGTAGTAAGGATAGAGTAAACAATTACTCAAGGTAAACAAAGGTCTGGATTTAAGTAGCAACCCTTAAGCTTATTTTTTTCGGGGATTAAACAGCCCTCGACAACTTTCACCAGCAAATTTCTTTTTGATATACATATAAAAGTTTGATATAAATCCATTTTGAAATGACTGGTGATCCTTGAAATCTGATTAGCTCACAGCAGTGCCATTTTTTCACTAATTGCACATCTTTATTACATCTTTATCCTAGCCAGTGAGAAAGCAACCCTAAAAATATATTACCAATAAGATTTCAAGGCTTTTTTAAAGTAACCAATCAAATTGAAGGAAAACGAAGGGCTGAAAAAGCTAACATAACATAACTAACCAGGGTTGTCAAAAAGCGCCGGCGACCGGCGATATCGCCGGCTACTTTTTCAGTTGCGCCGGCTACAGTTCGTCGGTTAAAAAAAAAAAAAAAAAAAACAGAAGAAAAAAAGAAAGGTTTTGAATCTCCTGAAACCAAGAATGAAGTGCCTCATATTGTGGAGTAATGATAAAGAAAAAAAAAACGCAACAAAACAAGAGTCGGAAGTACGGTAGTGTTTTGTATTTCGGAACGCTTCTCACTGATTTTCACTAGATGTAATTCGATGCCCGCCGACACGACTAGACGCAAAATGATTGCCTGTTGTTTTCTGCGTGCTAATTGGATTAGTTTGTTTTCCGAATTTCTCGAATTCGCTGATGCTTGATACTAATTTGGTATCTCACTTAAAAACTAAATGGGAAATAATCTTGCTCTAGCCCTTTCTGAGTCATTTGCACTTTCATACAATTCTCCAATTCACCGTTGTTTGGATAAGCAACCGCACATCACGTCAAATAATTTCTCACGGTCAAAATACGATAAAGATGTCAAGTTGTACTGATGGCAAGATAGCAACGGTATTTTTGAGTCATAGGAATAATCGAAAGAAGATGGAATCCTGTTTGGAACCAGTAGTCTCTTTTAATTCTACACTTACTGTACACTTTGAAGGAAAGCACTGGTACTCCAAACTTTTTTTTCTTTCGCGAAAAAATTTGTGCTGTGTGTCACATGTGAGAAGTGACTACTAAATTGTTTTTTTGAACTCACTAATAAAAATGATTAAATCTTGTTAGAGTGGTAAAAGGAATGTTAACTGTTGCCAGTTAGAATAGTGCAAACATATAAAAATTGCTTCAAGGAGAGGCAGTTTCAGCTGGTGGAAAAACCCTACATGCGTTTTGCTTCAGGGGGCTTCACCCCTGGACCTCGAACGGGGCACCGCCCCTGTACCCTGGTGGGGGCCTCGGCGGCCCCCAGACCCCCCGCCTAGCGTGGGAGTCTTTGGCCCTCAGTGCGGCCTACTTTCTTACATTCTCCTTCTACTTCAAATCTTTTTGACAACCCTGACTAACCTAAAGCTAGAATCACTCTCTGCTATTGCCTAATGCAACTCTTATGCATATACTCAACAGCAAATGCTGTGGTGTTGACCTTTTGTTACATGTGAGATATGGTTTGCAACTTTTTTTCCAAAAACTTTTTTTTCCCTAAAAAATAATACTTGTGATTTCAAATCAAACTTACACTGCATGCTCATTTGATTTTGAAATCACGCATACATCTATATGATTTCACTAGATACTCAGTTAACATTCCATTATATATGGTTCTGCTCCTAATGGGTGAGACTGAACATTTGATGAATAACATTTTAAGTCATAGATAATCAGGTAATCAACTGTTCCATAACATTTCTTTAGATTGCATAACGATTGCTGTAAATGATTTACCATCTTTAAGATATTATATGGAAAGATGGACTGCCTCTACTCTGAATTATTAAAATTTTCCTTCTTATTTGAAAAATGGAATCTGCATAACCTGACCACCTAGCTAAAGAAAATGAATTTATACAGTTTTCAAAAATCTATCACAATTTCTTCATCACATTAAAACCAATGCCATCAGCGCATTAAAAATAAGTGCTTAATTCTTTCCATGTCCCACAATTTTTTGGTTGTTTGTGTCCTGTTTTCAAGATTTAATGTTGGCATAAAATTTTGAACTTCCATTTCTTTCTTCTTCTGAATTTTGATTGGTAATTTACACTCAGAGTGTAAATTACCAAAACAAAAAAACCGAGCCATTTTTCTCTACTTGAATGGTATAAATTAGTTTCAGGTACTTACTAATGACTAAAAAACCCTTTTCTACCTTTTCTGTTTGGCACTCACATTCACACCTTGATTATACAGTATTACACAATAATTCTTACATGCAAACTAGTCTATGTAAGTTTGCAATATGTATGATCAGCTTGCTTCTGGGCTACACTGTGTAAAATATGTCTAAGTTACCTGCATGTTGCACCAGCTCCAGTGAGGTATGCATCACTTCCTTGAGACCCAAAATAACCGCTATGAAAAGAACAAATCAGATTAACTGCATCTGTATATGAGCAGTAGTTTTTGCTATATGAACATTTAATGGCATCTAAATATAAAAACAGCATGTTTAATAACAATTGCAGATATTGTAAATCTGTTACTAAGCACATTAAATTAAGCACAAGACATGGAATGCTTCTTAACCCTTAATTTCTAGGAGTGACCAAGACAGAATTTCTCCACACAATTATTATATAATATTATGCAGACAAGTTATGAAGATAAAGAAATGTTAATTTGGGGATTATTAGTTGATCTAACACTAAATTCTTGGAACTAAAATCATAACAATGGTATGGTAGGGTCAGTAAGGAGAATAGGTAGTGAGATCTTGGGAGCAAAAGGCTGAGATGCAGGGTGCTTAGTCAAAGGGAAAGCACTTATTTAATCTAATTTCTTTTCTGGCATAGCATTGGTGCATAAGCAGCAACCTCATTTTGTGTAAAGTACAAAACTGAATGACAATCCTAAATTTTAAGAGGCCATGTTAACTTGGTATTACCAGGACTCTCTAGCCACCTGTAATATTCAGTGGTTTAAACAAGTTTTAATGAAACTAATACTATCAATGGCATGAGGACACTACTCTATGTCCATGCAAAATCACTAACAAACACAAATACCACTCAAGTAACAGCAATGGTGTAAAACAAACCTGTCATACAACACTTCATCATCCTGTTGACTCTACAAAGCAAGAAAAATGACAAGCTATCCATGAGAAAAAGAGTCCACCATGTGATTGTCATACATTGGTAAATAAATCAATAAGTTGTAGGTGGTTTTAGGTGGTTTTAGGTCGTTCCTTGTTTTAGTCCTTGCCAAAAAAGTCATTACTCTTTGCAATTGTAGCATTGGTTGATTGAATAAATATTCACAACTCTCCTTACTCTTATTCTCAATAGCATTTGGAGACAAACCCATAACGAGTTGCTTTTTCGAATTTACTCTATCATTACCAATCTTATAATATGCATGACAAAATTTCAGCAGGCTTATTAGCTGAGGATACGTCAATCTATCACTTGCAGCGCAGAAAGTTGAAATTAAATTGATCTTCAGGAAAGTCGCGAAAGCAAACAAAACAAACTGGCGAACAGTTAGGCGAAAATAATGCGATTTTAATTTGGGGATTATCGAGAAATGCTACGAACAAAAACACCCTACAAAGCACGAACAACTGACTAAAAGTCCGGAAGTCTTGGGCCACCAAAAACAGCTACGACAAAAGTACCATTGACATAAGGCAAAATTCTCGAGTAGTTTACGCCTGATGAAGAATAGCAGTATAGCAGTCGAAACGTCGCGATCCATTCACGATTGATTAGCCTGACTCTTATATCGTAAGACAAACGATTAAACGTTCATTCATAAACAGAATCACAATAAACAACGGGGAATTCGATTACCAGCGTGATAGCCTCTCAGCTCGTTCGATTTTAAAATCACGCGTATCATTTCAAACAAAAGTAAACTCCTCTCAATTCAATTAACATTATCAATTAATAGTGATTTCGTTGATCGTTCGATTTCGACTGATATTATTCTGTTCGACGCAACCAGAGTTCACGAGGTTTTTCCCGCTGTGAAATCAAAATGGCGCGTAAGATGTAACTGACATATTTGACATGAAAGTAGAGCTTTGCGATCCGTTGATTTGGATTGCAATCGGAGGAAAAAGGACCCCCAGATCTGAAACACTCCTCTATTCAGCTGAACTCAAAACATTCACAATTACTTATTCGAAAGGCAAATAACTAGAAGACCGTGTAAGTCTGTTGTTTCCTTTTGATATCACAAAGAAAGCAGTCGTCAATTAACTATTGACAAAGCATATTATGTATTAAATATACCAAGTGCAAACTCTTACCTTGTCATAACATGGGCTCTGATTAATAAGAAATAGAAAAGCTCCCACAAGCATTCGTCAATACATCGGCCTTTCAAACGCTATGGAATAATTAAATTCCCGCTCAAACTTAAGAGAGGATGTCAACATCCATCAAACAAATTTGAAATATTTTGGCAAGTCGCCCAAAATTCGTTTTCTCTCCTACTTTCGTATTTTGTAGCCCAATATGTCATAATGATTGTGGTGTAGTTTTTTGGTGAAAATATATATTAGTTTTCGAGAAATTATTTTTTTCGTTCGACCGCTCAAATATGCAAATTTTCATCGTAAATATTACCCGAGTTGTGAGACCCCATGTAACGAATTTCCTTGACCTCCGGTATTTCTGTCAACATAATCCTTTGTTTTATCATCTAAACTTAATCCCCTGTCATTATTGAAGCTGGCAAAGAAACATTTATTTTTTGGTGAATATTTTTGTCCGACATACTTTTTCTATGTCGAAAAATAGCATCAAAACAAAGACAGTTTTAACAATGACCGATATGACAGAACCTACTGAGCTTCTAGCTTTTAAAAGACAAAAGGATGGTTATAAAGTTATTGTAAAAAATTTCCTTGTGTATTTGTGTCGTTTTTTCGTGAGACGAACTCAAAGTCCGGCAAAATTTACCTGCTAGCGATTATGAAATTTACATCTTGTGCCTATTTGTTGGCATAAATCACTACAATTTGTAAAAAAATCTAGCATAATACTCTTATCTTATTTATTTACGATTTTATGAGCTGTTTCTATGATCAAGTTATGCTCTACCACATTTTATAATAAAGCTCGGATATAACACGTACTGTCATTGGTTGAAAGAGCGTGCTCTATGAGAGTATAGAGCATAGAACTGAGCTAAAGCTGTCACGCCATCTGCCAAATCGTACTATGTCCGACCTTTTCCGGGACTTCTTTCTAGCTTTTCTTTCGTTAATAAAAGTGAAATTTCGGAACAAGCAAGCAAAGGTTTGCAAAAATGCCAGGCGCAGTAATTTACGTTACTGTAAGGTGAGCAGAGACAAAAATCCTCAAAGATAAAACAAGATAGACAGTCCGAGTTTTTTTAACGGTTTTCACGCTCAGTTAGATTGCGAGTTTATGTACGGTAATAAAAATTAAACACAGCTAACACTTGTATAGTATATAAAGTTTCGATTTCAAATAGAAAAAAACAGGAATTATGAAAAATATAACTTGGCATAACTGTTAAAATTCATACTAATCATGACGGTGTCAAAGACTTAAGGTCTATCGCGGCTAGCTAATCATGGCGATCTTCGGTCATCGCAGTGCAGCAAGCCTCAGGAACTAAATCGACTACCCTTCGAGTGAAAAATAAGAGCTTGTCCTGATTACCTTTCCGATGCGTTGAGTGGAAGGCCAGATCAGTCACTGCAACCGAGTTTTACGGCGCTGTCATTCCGAGCGATCTTTTTGTCTTAGTGAATTCGGCTGTTGTTCATTCATAATACACTCGCCTTGAACAGTTTGTTTTCTACTTGTAATGTGAAATAACTTGTGTATTTTTGTAAGCCACGATTGGGCCGAATTTCACTGAACATTTCACTTTCAGATCCTGTATTAGAAACTAAAAACTTCAGGCAAAAGTGTTAAATTCGACATGCCGAGCTATTTTAGTTTGTAAACTATTGCAGAATATGAACTTTGATGGTTTATGAACTTTGATGGTTTGACATTTTTGACAGCTTTAGTCTTGTACAGCCAATCAGATTATTTGAACCATTCTAACAGGAATTCTGATTGGCTTATTGTAGCGTGCTTTATGAGAGTATAGAGCATGCTGACGACACTGTTGTTCGCTTTGGAAATAAGATTTGTTTTGAAAATTGAAAGTAATTATTGGGGAATTTAACGGATTCTTTATTATAAAACAAATAGAGAAGCCTTGACTGTGCTCTGTACTGTTGTAACGCACTTAGGAAGCGGCTAGAGCACTCAAGAAGTAGGGAGAAACACTCGACTACGTCTCGTGTTTCCCCCTACACTTCTTTCGTGCTCTAGCCGCTTCTTGCGTGCTTTACAACAGAACAGAGCACAGTCAAGGCTTCTCTATTTGTTAATTATATAATAAGCTCAGTTATGCACGCGTTTTGATTGGTTCTCACTTATGATCTATTGGAGGACAGACGTATAGATGACGTCATCATTAAAACTTTTTTTTCTTGGAATCTAATTAATTAGCCAGATTTAATTTGCAGTTTATAAAACTTCTCCACATTAATATATCAGTTTTATGACAAGCGTGACACATAAATTCAAAGATGAATCAACCTCCGAATTACCAAGAGATGGGTTTTTTTTCCTCTTTGCATATCTATAAAAACCTTCCAAGAATTACTGTATTCAGAAAACTAAATTGTCCAGATCCATCAATGATTCCTTTGCCGGCGGAAGTCAAAGAATGTTCACAAAAGTCAATTCGATTGACAAACTAAATACTGATTTAGTTAATTGATCTGTTGTATAAGCGTTTCATCTTACATGCTAACAAGGAGATTTGCTGACAAAAATTTTTTTCTCTTCACCGAAAATCACATCAAAATTTGTCCTTGCTAAATTTCGAGTGTGCTGCACGTATCAGCACCCCCCGACCCCCCCAAGGAACCCCTATACATAAAAGGGCGAGGGTGCGCGCCGAGAATTTCGGAAATGACCCTTATAAAATTATTAAAGGTACCTGAGTCTTATCTGTGTGTGAGTGGCAACAACTGATGTCTACCCCTAAAAAGTACCAATTTAAACACAAAAAATTGAAAAATCCTAAAATTAAAAACTCGATTTATCGATATGCTCCAGGGGCTCAAGTCAGATCATTAAAATCGTCCTAGTAATGCTTATTTCAGGTAATTTATTGAGCGAAAAACACCCTAAAAGTTATTAGTTAGGTCTCTGATAGTCCACTAAAGTTTGAGACATCGTAAAAGGTACCAGATCGCTGATTTTGACCCCTGAAAGGTACGACAAGCATCCTCACCCATATCCGATCGCCTGATGACTCGCTTCGAATAATTTTACTCTGCTATCATGTGGCAACCGGGATGAACTCGTTCTTGAACAAAACTCATTACGATATCATGTAAAAGGCCCCTAAGAGTTTTTATTCCCAGAGCATCACGCTTCGCTCTGCCGCCAGAACACTATACATTTCAATATGCGCTGCTACTGAAACAACGATTACCGTATTTCTTCACCTATAAGCCGAGCGATTTTTCAGTATTTGACACAAAAGTTTGGGAGATTTTTTCACAAGAAACGCGGTTCGGCTTATAGTCGAGGGTTTGGAATTTAAAAAAAAGAACAAATTTAATGTTAAGGCGAAATGACCGTAAATTCCGTGACTGCAGCGCTCTTTATGTGACATGCTTTAAATTTGACGTGACAATAGCGTATTTCTGACCACCAAACAGATTCTTTGCTTTCCACGCATTGAAAGACGATCTCACTCAACTCGGCAAAAACTCTTCTCATCTCACATTATAAATGAAATATTTGATCTCTCTGCCGTGAATAAAACTCCATCGCTTGCTCGTCTAGTTCGGGACACTTGGGAGTGAAACGGTCCATTTTTGCACGTCTTGCAGACATCTTAAGCCTGCCAGAAAGAATAGTCGCCTGGTCTCGTCTCCAGCGTCACACCATGGACTCGGTAAGTCCATAATCTCAAGCGATTTCCGAGCTTTTTTTACAGCTTCAGCCTCCGCGATAACTTTTATCCTGAAAGCCATAGTATACGAAGAGCGGCGTGCTTTTGGCATGATGAGAAAAATA